AACCACCACCAACAACACCAACACCAAGACCAACATCACTGCCAACACCACCACCAACACCACCACCACAAACACTACCAACACCACCAACACCACCACCAACACCACCAACACCACAAACACTACCACCACCAACACCACCACCAAAACCACCACCAACACCACCACCACCAATACCACTGCCAACACCACCACCACTGCCAACACCACCACCACCACAAACACTACCAACACCACCAACACCACCACCAACACCAACACCACCGCCAACACCACCACCACAAACACTACCAACACCACCAACACCACCACCACAAACACTACCACCACCAACACCACCAAAACCACCACCAACAACACCAACACCACCACCAACACCACCAACACCAACATCACTGCCAACACCACCACCAACACCACTGCCAACACCACCACCACAAACACTACCAACACCACCAACACCACCACCAACACCACCACCAACACCACCAACACCACAAACACTACCACCACCAACACCACCACCACCAAAACCACCACCAACAACACCAACACCACCACCAACACCACCAACACCACCAACACCACTGCCAACACCACCACCAACACCACTGCCAACACCACCACCACAAACACTACCACCACAAACACCACCACCAACAACACCACCACCAACACCACCAACACCACCAACACCACCATCAACACCAACACCACTGCCAAGACCACCACCAACACCACTGCCAACACCACCACACCACCACCACAAACACTATCGCCACCAACACAACCACCACCAACACCACCACCAATACCACTGCCAACACCACCACCACTGCCAACACCACCACCACAAACACTACCAACACCACCAACACCACCACCAACACTACCACCAACACCACCACCAACACTACCACCAACACCACTGCCAACACCACCACCACAAACACTACCAACACCACCAACACCACCACCAACACCACTGCCAACACCACCACCACAAACACTACCACCACCAACACCACCACCAAAACTACCACCACCAACACTACCACCACCAACACTACCACCACCAAAACCACCACCAACACCACCACCACCACAAACACCACCACCAACACCACCAACACCACCACCAACACCACCACCAACACCACCACCAACACTACCACCACCAACACCACCACCAACACCACCACCAACACCACCACCAACACCACTGCCAACAACACCACCACCAACACCACCACCAACAACTTCCCGGCCTCTGTGGCCCTAACAGCGAGTATCACGATGGGCTACGTACGGTGTGAAAGAAGTCCAGGGAGGGGTTGAGGTTGGGGGTGCCGGGGGGGGTTGAGGGTGGGGGTAGGGGGGTTGAGGGTGGGGGTGCAGGGGGGGGTTGAGGGTGGGGGTGCAGGGGGGGGTTGGGGTGGGGGTAGGGGGGTTGAGGGTGGGGGTTGAGGGTGGGGGTTGAGGGTGGGGGTTGAGGGTTGAGGGTGGGGGTTGAGGGTGGGGGTTGAGGGTGGGGGTAGGGGGGTTGAGGGTGGGGGTTGAGGGTGGGGGTTGAGGGTGGGAGTTGAGGGTTGAGGGTGGGGGTTGAGGGTGGGGGTAGGGGGGGTTGAGGGTGGGGGTTGAGGGTGGGGGTGTAATTTCTCTCGGCGTTGCTTGAGGCCTCGTTAACGCGTCGCCCGCTCGAGGCCGCTGACGATTTACGGCCGCGGTGGGGGGGGGGGGGGGGCCGTGCCCCGCCCCCCATAAACAGCGCGGTGGGGGTGGGGGGTGATTGAAGGTGGCGGTGATGGTGGGGATGGTGGTGATGGTAGCGGTAGTGATGGTGGTGGCGGTGGTGATGGTGGCAATGGTGGCGATGGTGGCAGTGGTGATGGTGGTGATGATGGTGATGGTAGCGGTAGTGATGGTGGTGATGGTGGCGGTGGTGGTGATGGTGGTGATGGTGGTGGTGATGGTGGTGATGGTGACGATGTTGGTGACATTGTGGGGAGCGGTGACACAGTGGGTAGCCCCCCCCCGCTCACGAGGGCCTCAATGACAATGTCACCGTGCCGGGCCTGCCGTAGGTCCGCTCAGCCTTAAAATTAGTACCTGGTCCAGTGTGTAAACAACGTCACTGGGGAGACAAAGGCGGCTAGGCGGGGGTGGAGCTGGCCAGCGACCCCTCCCCACGCGTGTTACAGTGCCGGTGGCCTCCAAAGGCGCTGCTACTTGCTGACAGCACTTGCCTCAAGTCTAGTGAAGGCTACACGGGGAATCTTTGTCTCTATCTTTGTTGGCGGAACGAGAACTCCCTCCTCGACAAGCCCCTCGCACTCACCACACTCACCACACTCACTCACTCACCACACTCACCACACTCACTCACCAAACTCACTCACCACACCACACTCACTCACCACACTCACTCACCACACTCACTCACCACGCTCACCACACCACACTCACCACACCACACTCACCACACTCACCACACTCACCACACCACACTCACTCACCACACTCACTCACCACACTCACCACACTCACCACACCACACTCACTCACCACACTCACCACACTCACCACACTCACCACACCACACTGACCACACTCACTCACCACACTCACCACACCACACTCACTCACCACACTCACCACATTCACCACGCTCACCACACCACACTGACCACACTCACTCACCACACTCACCACACCACACTCACTCACCACACTCACCACACTCACCACACCACACTCACTCACCACACTCACCACACCACACTGACCACACTCACTCACCACACTCACCACACCACACTCACTCACCACACTCACCACACTCACTCACCACACTTACTCACCACACTCACCACGCTCACCACACCACACTCACTCACCACACTCACCACGCTCACCACACCGCACTCACCACACTCACTCACCACTCACCACACTCACCAAACTCACTCACCACACTCACCACACTCACTCACCACACTCACCAAACTCACTCACCACACTCACCAAACTCACTCACCATACTCACTCACCACATACACTCACCACAATCACTCACCACACTCACTCACCACACTCACTCACCACACACACTCACCACACTCACTCACCACACTCACTCACCACACTCACCACACTCACTCACCACACTCACTCACCACACTCACCACACTCACTCACCACACTCACCACACTCACCAAACTCACTCACCACACTCACCACACTCACTCACCACACTCACCAAACTCACTCACCACACTCACCAAACTCACTCACCACACTCACTCACCACATACACTCACCACAATCACTCACCACACTCACTCACCACACTCACCACACTCACCACACTCACTCACCACACTCACCAAAGTCACGCATCACAGTCACTCACTACACTCACCTCACTCACCACAATCACTCACCACACTCACTCACCGCACTAACCACACTCACTCACCACACTCACTCACCACACTCACTCACCACACTCACCACACTCACTCACCACACTCACTCACCACACTCACCACACTCACTCACCACACTCACTCACCACACTCACTCACCACACTCACCACACTCACCACACTCACTCACCACACTCACTCACCACACTCACCACACTCACTCACCACACTCACCTCACTCACCACACTCACTCACCACACTCACCACACTCACTCACCACACTCACCAAAGTCACCCATCACAGTCACTCACCACACTCACTCACCACACTCACCACACTCACTCACCACACTCACCACACTCACTCACCACACTCACTACACTCACTCACCACACTCACTACACTCACACTCACTCACCACACTCACTCACCACACTCACCACACTCACCAAAGTCACCCACCACAGTCACTCACCACACTCACCACACTCACCCATCACAGTCACCACACTCACCACACTCACCAAAGACGTCATCAAAGTCACTCACCACACTCACCACACTCACCAAAGTAACCCACCACAGTCACTCACCACACTCACCAAAGTCACTCACCACACTCACCAAAGTCACCCATCACACCACACTCACCACACTCACCAAAGTCACCCACCACAGTCATTCACCACACTCACCACACTCACCAAAGTCACTCACCACACCCACCACACTCAGCAAAGTCACTCACCAAAGTCACTCACCAAAGTCACCAAAGTCACTCACCACACTCACCATCACACTCACCACACTCACCACACTCACCATCACACTCATCACACTCACCACACTCAACCCCACACACCCCACTCACCAAAGTCACCCATCACAGTCACTCACCACACTCACCATACTCACCCATCACAGTCACTCACCACACTCACCATCACACTTACCACACTCACCCCACTCACCAAAGTCACCCACCACAGTCACTCATCACACTCACCACACTCACCAAAGTCACCCATCACAGTCACTCACCACACCCACCACACTTACCAAAGTCACCACACTCACCAAAGTCACCCACCACAGTCACTCACCACACTCACCACACTCACCAAAGTCACCCACCACAGTCACTCACCACACTCACCACACTCACCAAAGTCACCCACCACAGTCACTCACCACACTCACCACACTCACCAAAGTCACCACCCACCACAGTCACTCACCACACTCACCACGCTCACCAAAGTCACCACCCACCACAGTCACTCACCATCACACTCACCACACTCACCAAAGTCACCCACCACAGTCACTCACCACACTCACCACACTCACCAAAGTCACCACCCACCACAGTCACTCACCACACTCACCACACTCACCAAAGTCACCACCCACCACAGTCACTCACCATCACACTCACCACACTCACCAAAGTCCCCACCCACCACAGTCACTCACCACTCGGAGTGCCTCCTCGGCCACTCCCCACGGGCGTGCGCGCTCCACTCCTCACCCTCACCTCGCGACTCACCACCGCTCACCACCGCTCACCTGTCTGAGGATCACCATGGCTGCCGCTCGCTCCCTGTCGTCCCCGCTGCAACGCGCCGAGTGTCACCCACAGCAGCAGCAGCAGGAGGGCGCCTGCGTGCGGAGAGACGCGGGCGGTCAGAGACAGCGCGAGACGCAGCCCCTACCCCGCAGTGTCTCACTCTCTCTCCCAGTGTCTCTCTCTCTCTCAGTGTCTCTCTCTCTCTCAGTGTCTCTCTCTCTCCCAGTGTCTCTCTCTCTCTCAGTGTCTCTCTCTCTCTCAGTGTCTCTCTCTCTCTCAGTGTCTCTGTCTCTCTCTCTCAGTGTCTCACTCTCTCTCAGTGTCTCACTCTCCCAGTGTCTCACTCTCTCTCCCAGTGTCTCTCTCTCTCTCTCTGTGTCTCTGTCTCACTCTGTCTCTCCCAGTGTCTCACTCTGTCTCTCCCAGTGTCTCACTCTCTCTCCCAGTCTCACTCTCTCCCCCAGTGCCTCACTCTCTCTCTCAGTGTCTCTGTCTCACTCTCTCCCAGTGTCTCACTCTCTCCCCCAGTGCCTCACTCTCTCTCTCAGTGTCTCACTCTCTCTCCCAGTGTCTCACTCTCCCAGTGTCTCACTCTCTCCCCCAGTGTCTCACTCTCTCCCCCAGTGCCTCACTCTCTCTCCCAGAGTCTCACTCTCCCAGTGTCTCACTCTCTCTCCCAGTGTCTCACTCTCTCTCCCAGTGTCTCACTCACTCTCACAGTGTCTCACTCACTCTCCCAGTGTCTCACTCACTCTCCCTGTGCCTCACTCTCTCTCCCAGTGTCTCACTCACTCTCCCAGTGTCTCACACTCTCTCCCAGTGTCTCACTCTCTCTCCCAGTGTCTCACTCTCTCTCTCCCAGTGTCGCACTCTCCCAGTGTCTCACTCTCTCTCTCCCAGTGTCTCACTCTCTCTCCCAGTGTCTCACTCTCTCTCCCAGTGTATCACTCTCTCTCCCAGTGTCTCACTCTCTCTCCCAGTGTCTCACTCTCTCTCCCAGTGTCTCACTCTCTCTCTCTCAGTGTCTCACTCTCTCTCTCAGTGTCTCACTCTCTCTCCCAGTGTCTCACTCTCTCTCCCAGTGTCTCACTGTCTCTCCCAGTGCCTCACTCTCTCTCCCAGTGTCTCACTCTCTCTCCCACTGTCTCACTCTCTCCCAGTCTCACTCTCCCAGTGTCTCACTCTCTCTCCCAGTGTCTCACTCTCCCAGTGTCTCACTCTCTCCGCCAGTGTCTCACTCTCTCTCCCAGTGTCTCACTCTCTCTCTCAGTGTCTCACTCTCTCTCCCAGTGTCTCACTCTGTCTCCCAGTGTCTCTCTCTCCCAGTGTCTCACTCTCTCTCTCAGTGTCTCTGTCTCACTCTCTCTCCCAGTGTCTCACTCTCTCTCCCAGTGTCTCACTCTCTCTCTCAGTGTCTCTGTCTCACTCTCTCTCCCAGTGTCTCACTCTCTCTCCCAGTGTCTGACTCTCTCTCCCAGTGTCTCACTCTCTCTCCCAGTGTCTCACTCACTCTCCCAGTGTCTCACTCACTCTCCCAGTGTCTCACTCTCTCTCCCAGTGTCTCACTCTCTCTCCCAGTGTCTCACTCTCTCTCCCAGTGTCTCACTCTCTCTCCCAGTGTCTCACTCTCTCTCCCAGTGTCTCACTCTCTCTCCCTCTCAGTGTCTCACTCTCTCTCCCAGTGTCTCACTCTCTCTCCCAGTGTCTCACTCTGTCTCCCAGTGTCTCTCTCTCCCAGTGTCTCACTCTCTCTCTCAGTGTCTCACTCTCTCTCCCAGTGTCTCACTCTCTCTCCCAGTGTCTCACTCTCTCTCCCAGTGTCTCACTCTCTCTCCCAGTGTCTCACTCTCTCTCTCCCAGTGTCTCACTCTCTCTCTCCCAGTGTCTCACTCACTCTCTCCCAGTGTCTCACTCTCTCTCTCCCAGTGTCTCACTCTCTCTCCCAGTGTCTCACCCTCTCTCCCAGTGTCTCACTCTCTCTCCCAGTGTCTCACTCTCTCTCCCAGTGTCTCACTCTCTCTCCCAGTGTCTCACTCTCCCAGTGTCTCACTCTCTCTCCCAGTGTCTCACTCTCTCTCCCAGTGTCTCACTCTCTCTCCCAGTGTCTCAGTCTCTCTCCCAGTGTCTCACTCCCCCCTCCCACCCCCACTTGACAAGACCCCCCGCAGAGCGCGCAGGTAATCATAAGATTAAGAAGGCTCACCGAGTCTCAAGACTCTCTTACAGGAGGGGCCTGCGAAGTTTCCACAGTCGTGGAGGCGGCGACAAAGGCGGTGAGGCGTGACGCTGGCCACTCACCCCCCTCGTGTGCCGTGCTCGCTAACAGCACTTGCCCCGAAAGTCTGTTCAGCCTATACGGGGGATCTTTGTCTTTGTGTGTGTGTACTGGAGGGGTGTTTGTGTGTCCACTGGTGTGTGCGCACTAGTATGTGCACTGGAGTCTGTGTGTGTGTGTTCACTGGTGTGTGTGTGTCCACTGACGTGTTTGTGTGTGTCCACTGGTGTGTGTGTCCACTGGTGTGTGTGTGTGTGTGTCCACTGACGTGTGTGTGTTCATTGGTGTGTGTGTGTCCACTTGTGTGTGTGTGTCCACTGGTGTGTGTGTCCACTTGTGTGTGTGTCCACTGGTGTGTGTGCACTAGTATGTGCACTGGAGTCTGTGTGTGTGTGTGTTCACTGGTGTGTGTATGTGTGTCCACTGACGTGTTTGTGTGTGTCCACTGGTGTGTGTGTGTGTGTCCACTGGTGTGTGTGTGTGTCCACTGGTGTGTGTGTGTGTTCATGTGTGTGTGTGTGTTCATTGGTGTGTGTGTGTGTCCGCTGGTGTGTGTGTGTGTGTTCATTGGTGTGTGTGTCCACTGGTGTGTGTGTGTGTCCACTGGTGTGTGTGTGTGTCCACTGGTGTGTGTATGTGTGTTCACTGGTGTGTGTGTGTGTCCACTGGTGTGTGTGTGTGTGTCCACTGGTGTGTGTGTGTGTCCACTGGTGTGTGTGTGTGTGTCCACTGGTGTGTGTGTCCACTGGTGTGTGTGTGTGTCCACTGGTGTGTGTGTGTTCACTGGTGTGTGTGTGTGTGTCCACTGGTGTGTGTGTGTGTCCACTGGTGTGTGTGTGTGTGTCCACTGGTGTGTGTGTCCACTGGTGTGTGTGTGTGTCCACTGGTGTGTGTGTGTTCACTGGTGTGTGTGTGTGTCCACTGGTGTGTGTGTGTGTGTCCACTGGTGTGTGTGTGTGTCCACTGGTGTGTGTGTGTGTGTCCACTGGTGTGTGTGTCCACTGGTGTGTGTGTGTGTCCACTGGTGTGTGTGTGTGTCCACTGGTGTGTGTGTGTGTGTCCACTGGTGTGTGTGTCCACTGGTGTGTGTGTGTGTCCACTGGTGTGTGTATGTGTGTTCACTGGTGTGTGTGTGTGTCCACTGGTGTGTGTGTGTGTGTCCACTGGTGTGTGTGTGTGTCCACTGGTGTGTGTGTGTGTGTCCACTGGTGTGTGTGTCCACTGGTGTGTGTGTGTGTCCACTGGTGTGTGTGTGTTCACTGGTGTGTGTGTGTGTTCACTGGTGTGTGTGTGTGTGTCCACTGGTGTGTGTGTCCACTGGTGTGTGTGTGTGTCCACTGGTGTGTGTGTGTTCACTGGTGTGTGTGTGTGTCCACTGGTGTGTGTGTTCACTGGTGTGTGTGTGCACTGGTGTGTGTGTGTGTGTGTCCACTGGTGTGTGTGTCCACTGGTGTGTGTGTTCACTGGTGTGTGTGTCCACTGGTGTGTGTGTCCACTGGTGTGTGTTCATTGGTGTGTGTGTGTCCACTGGCGTGTGTGTGTCTACTGGTGTGTGTGTGTGTGTGTTCACTGGTGTGTGTGTGCACTGGTGTGTGTGTGTCCACTGGCGTGTGTGTGTGCACTGGTGTGTGTGTGCACTGGTGTATGTGTGTATTGGTGTGTGTGTGCTCACTGGTGTGTGTATTCACTGGCGTGTGTGTGCGCACTGGTGTGTGTGTGTGTGCGCACGTGTGTGTATTCACTGTCGTGTGTGTGCACTGGTGTGCGTGTGTGTCCACTGGTGTGTGTGTCCACTGGTGTGTGTGTGTTCACTGGTGTGTGTGTGTGCACTGGTGTGTGTGTGCACTCGTGTGTGTGTATTCACTGGTGTGTGTGCACTGGTGTGTGTGTGTACTCTCACACAGTGGAGCAGCTCAGTGCAACGTTTTGTTTCAGAAGAATCGTTTAAATCGCGATACGAGCGTGGCCCTTGCTGCAGAGGTGGAAATGTTGTCAACCCAAGTTGGCAGCCATGTTGCAAGATGGCCGCCGATTATTTCTACTTTCGCTGCGCGAATTCGAGCGCGTTGTCCCGTTGGGACGATGAAAATGGCCACGCCTGCGTCTATGAGCACGCGGCAACTCATCTCACGATGTTTCCCACTCCTCGGACAGCTTGTATGTATCACTTGAGGACAATGTGATGAGCGCACGTGACAAAGAGTAAATATCCAGTGGACTACCAAGGCACGCTCGACACCCCACCACCGTGGAACTCGGCATGGGGCAGGAGTGTCAGCTCCTGTCGTTGTACTCGGCAGTGTCAGCTCCTGTCGTAGTACTCGGCAGTGTCAGCTCCTGTCATTGTACTCGGCAGTGTCAGCTCCTGTCATTGTACTCGGCAGTGTCAGCTCCTGTCGTAGTACTCGGCAGTGTCAGCTCCTGTCGCTGTACTCGGCAGTGTCAGCTCCTGTCGTAGTACTCGGCAGTGTCAGCTCCTGTCGCTGTACTCGGCAGTGTCAGCTCCTGTCGTTGTACTCGGCAGTGTCAGCTCCTGTCGTTGTACTCGGCAGTGTCAGCTCCTGTCGTTGTACTCGGCAGTGTCAGCTCCTGTCGTTGTACTCGGCAGTGTCAGCTCCTGTCGTAGTACTCGGCAGTGTCAGCTCCTGTCATTGTACTCGGCAGTGTCAGCTCCTGTCGTAGTACTCGGCAGTGTCAGCTCCTGTCGCTGTACTCGGCAGTGTCAGCTCCTGTCGTAGTACTCGGCAGTGTCAGCTCCTGTCGCTGTACTCGGCAGTGTCAGCTCCTGTCGCTGTACTCGGCAGTGTCAGCTCCAGTCGTTGTACTCGGCAGTGTCAGCTCCTGTCGTTGTACTCGGCAGTGTCAGCTCCTGTCGTTGTACTCGGCAGTGTCAGCTCCTGTCGCTGTACTCGGCAGTGTCA